CAGTTGTTCACACTGTGAGATTCACAGTTGTGCTGATAACTAGCTTTCTTGGATTACTTAGCTCTGCTGTGCTTAGTCGCTCAGTCATGTCTGACTCTTTGTGACCCCATGGACCCCCTCCAGGCTCCTCTGTTCATGGAGATTCTCCAGGCAAGAATACAGAGTGGGTTCCCATGCACTCCTCCAGGGGATCTTCTCAACCCAGGGATTGAACCTAGGTCTCCAGCGTTGCTGGCCGATTCTTTACCATCTGAGCCACCAGGGAAGCGCTTTGACTAGGACCAAAATCTGCTGGTGGTATAATTTCTCTGCTTTAGCTTTCTTCTGATAAATGCTAGAAGGAGAGAACTTTAAGGTATATTTCAGCTCTATAATCGTGAACTCCATCAAACTTTATTCTGCTTTGAAAGTGTACCACCTCATAGGTTTGTCAAAGAATAAATTTGCCCATCATAGCCATTTATAAAGACTTAGAGAAATAGCAAGGGCATTTAACCACTTTCCACTGGTTGAAAGCCTTGTCTTTTTCTAAAATGTATTTATTTATTGTTTTTCCTAGTTTTGCAATATTTTTCAATAGTGCATATAAAAAGACTAAGAAACATAACCAGATGTTTGGCAACTGTCTAGACTTTTCCTTCTCAAACTCTTTAACATCTCCGTAAATGACTTGGGGATTTTGTTAAAATACAGGTTCTGATTTAGTGTGTTTAGAGTGATCTCTCACATACCTAATATCTAACAAGTTCCCAGGTGATGTTGCTAGTCCTGGAATTACACTTTGGCTAGCAATGGTTGAGACTATTTTGTAGACTAAAGAGATCATAAACCTAAAACTGAAAAGGCAATTATAAAAATTAAATATTTCAGTTTCATTTACAAAAATCATCTCTTTTTGCTGACTATACACAAATAAAATCAGTGATTTCTTTCAAAGTTGAAATTCTAAAAAGGCAGTGCGTTATTTCTGTCAGTCAGTTCATCAGTTCAGTTGCTCAGTGGTGTCCGACTCTTTGCGACCCCATGAACCGCAGCACGCCAGGCCTCCCTGTCCATCACCAACTCCCAGAGTCCACCCAAACCCATGTCCATCGAGTCGGTGATGCCAGCCAACCATCTCATCCTCTGCCACTCCCTTCTCCTTCCTTCAGTCTTTCCCAGCATCAGGGTCTTCGCATCAGGTGGCCAAAGTATTGGAACTTCAGCTTCAGCATCAGTACTTCCAGTGAATATTCAGGACTGATTTCCTTTAGGACTGACTGGTTTGATTTGTTAGTGTAAATTACTTTGGATTTGTTTCTACTTTATATTTCAGTTAAGACCTTATGTTGATTTAAAGGGCTTCCCTGGTGACTCAGATGGTAAAGAATCTGCATGCAATGCGGGAAACGTGGGTATGATTCCTGGGTTGGGAAAAAACTGCATGTAGCAGTTTATATTATTACTGAGTTTCATTCATAGAAAGGAATTTTCAACATATTTGTTAGAAAAAGTTGGTGCTAGTCTGGTGAGATTGAGAGTTTCTGCTGTAGCAGTCCCAATTTCCTCTTTCTAAAGAGATCCAGTGCAAGTGAGCTTCTGCACTTCCCAGTGTCCCCCTTCATTACTTTTGAAACACATTCAGCTTTTCAAGTAGCTGAATGATAATTCTCTTTAAATAATATGAGTTATTTTGGTTGCTCCTTAGTTCTTATGTGAGCTACCAAAATAATGGATATTTTTTTCATCTACTTTATCCCTTCTTTTTAAACTTACCTCTCCCAGCCTTATGCGTGGGAGGATGCGTGCTTGCAAACCTCCAAGTACACGATTTTGTTTTTCTATTGAAAATTATTTGTAGTGAAGTTTTTTTTCTGGCCGTGGTTCTTATTTTGGAAAACTCTTTGCACAGGCTCAAAATGGCCAGGCCATCTTTTGGTTATTGTTCCAAAGAAATGGTTTTCAACCACTAGATTGCTTTCTGCACATGGGTTTCTTTTTTATTTCCTGGTACAAGACAATTCTGGTGGCTTCAGGAGAAAAGCTTGACTGCATGACAGGTGGGTGTTCTGTGAACTGTTCCTGTTTGCCTGATGGACCCGGAGCCAGTGTGTGGGCCCACCTGGGAGCACCCTACAAGGAGCACATAGAGGGCGAGACTGCGGCTGGGGGGTGTTGTCCCCCTCTACTTTGAAGAGAACAAGGGTTTGCAGCAGCGTCAGCAGGATCTCAGCAGGGCAGCCAGGGAGCCGGAGCCCAGGGGAAGCTTAAGGGAGCAGACACGCACGGGCTGCGGGCTGTAGACTTTAGCACAGCAGAGTCTAAGAGAGCCATCGAAGCTCCGTCACTCCGTCCAAGGATTGACACTGTGTGCGGCTCCTGGGAACTTATTAAGCAGCACAGTCCTCATTTCCGACCCGCGGATCCAAACCGAGGTGTGGACAAGATCCTGACGCAACTCCTGTGCACATTACAGTCTGAGGAGCCCTGCTACTCTAATCAGACCACAGCACAGACACTGCTTCCTCCAGGAAGTCTTCCTGGTACTCCTTTCACTACCCGGGCACCCTGTCACCTGGATCTCATCTGTGTCCTCACTGGCCTTCTTGCTGCAGGTCTGCATGTCCCTTCCTCAGAGGCGAGTGCTAACCCAGATCATTCTNTGTTTAACACTTCCAATTTGCCTTGATTCATGGACCTAACATTCCAAGTTCCTATTCAATATTGCTCTTTACAGCATTGGATTTTACTTCCAATCACCAGTCACATCCACAGCTGAGTGTTGTTTTTGCTTTTGTCCTATCTCTTCATTCTTTCTGGAGTTATTTCTCCACTGGTCTCCAGTAGCATATTGGGCACCTACCGACCTGGGGAGTTCATCTTTCAGTGTCCTGTCTTTTTGCCTTTTCATACTATCCTGGTGTTCTTTAGGCAAGAATACTGAAGTGGTTTGCTTTTCCCTTCTCTAGTGGACCACATTATTTCTATAATTATTCTATTTTCATGTGTCTTCTCTACATTATGACTTCTACATTTTTTTAACTTGGCAAATGAAGTTGTATTATTTAAAATCTTAGTTTTAGACGTGTTGAACGTCATAATTTTGAAAACTAACAGTAAATTTAGCTATGAATATAATTATTAAGATGAATGAATTACATTTCAGAATACTTATGGCATATTATAAGCTTTATCATGTGTCTTTCCTATTACAGTGCTCTAAAATACTACAGTAGAATAAGTACTAGTTACCCAAAATAGTAAGTTTACAATAAAACCATGTATTAGCTGAAGCTACCTAATTTTTTTTTTTTACCTTTCCTTCAGAATCCCTAAATGCCTGAATAATCTTGCTACTGGATGATAAAACTATAAACAAGTATACACATATGTAAACAATAGTTATTTCAAATATGAAGGAATTTGAATTATGACTTTCGAAGCTTTGTCACCCAAAAATTATAGAAAGTTTAAAGATTTGATGTGGTATTGTGAAATTCTTTACTCACTCATCTTACAAAAAATATATACATTCATTTCCCCCTTAATAAATGCTAGAAATTTGTTTTTTAGCACAAACCCCATAAAATCCTAGTTTCCTAATGTAAACTAAAAACAACAAAACAACAAAAGGTTTTATTTTAAAACTTAACAGCATTTTTCCTTTATTTGTACTTTTATCTGTATTTTTCCTTATTGGAGAGGTAAGAGGCTCAGGTTCCAGAACTGCCCACGTGTATTATGGGGAGATACCATCCATCCTCACCCAATCTTAAAGGTTGGTGATGGATGGTAACAGTTGAAGAGAAAAACTTGGTGGTCAGACAAAGAAGATGAATAACATATTAGGAAGACAAAAGAATCCAAATGGAACACACTTGTGAAATATAGGACGAATTCAAGGTATCTGTTTTTAATAATGTCCCAGAAGAAAAATATTTGATGTCTCAGGAGCTTGATAATTTTGTATAAATTTAGAGCCTAATATCAAACCTACATAACTGGTTTCAAATCACATTAGAATTCAGTGTTTTCCTGATATTCCACTTAAGAAACTACAACGTCTTGCAAATTATATTGTCATTCAAAAAGTGTTTAAAAAGAAGACCTTGTTAAAATAACAATACCAACAACCCTGTAGTTTGCTTTTTAAAATGTTACTCCTGCAGAGTAGTACAGTCTTGCATAGAACACTGCATTTGTGAAATTCATTCACCTCTGTTGTATTATTTATCTTGTAAGAATAAAATTTACTCATCTTTAAATAAGTTACCAACCATTTAATGATGTGGGAAATGTAGCAGAGATAACCCATTCATTTTGCTAAGCAAAGAGAACTGAAAGAAACGCAGCTGTTTCCATTCCAGCTTCCTTATGCAGAGGAAAATATTTCTTTTTTATTAGCTCCATCTGATGGTTGATCTGGTTTTTACACACTGCCTGGCTATAAATTCCCGACAGTAATTTTATTGTTTTCTGTCCCTCTCTTCTATTATAAAAATGTGCTATATTGTAAAGATACTCCTTAGCTGAGAATGTACATAAGTAATTCATTGAATTCTGCAAATATTTACTAATATAAAGAATATTCATGCTAATCTTGTAGCTCTTTACTTTTTCCTTTAAGTTGAGAAGCATAAAGATCACAGATTACAGTAGTATAAAAGTTAACGTTTGAAAATATTACTAATACTGTCCTGTATGCACATCTTCATAGAGGACATGCAAACCTTTTAGCAGGGCATGGCCCATCCGTTACCTAATTTATGTTGAGCATGTTTTTGGTGCTAACAAATTTTAAGCACATAAAAATGGCTATTTTTCCTCGTTCATATTTTATACTAATGGCATAGTTTCGTAGAAACCTATTTGTGTGATATTCCATTTTAATGTTTTCAGCTGTGAGCCTGAGTGCTTGAAAGTGCAATTCTTTCAATGAAGAGAAAGTTAGCTTGAAGGATCAATATTTGAAATACATGACTGAGTCTAGCATTAAATAAGAAGTTAAGAAAATACTATACCTCAGCATCATACTCCCATAACTGATTTCCTCTCATATGGTGGCATTTTAACATGATTACAGGTCCATTGAGTCTAGAAACATCTAAGCACAAGTCATCGGTTCGGATTTCTTTGTCAGCAGTATAAGAAAATACCTGCAAATATAAAAGGCAGCTAATAAAATAATATCTTCTTTTAAAAAATGTTGCAGTATAGCAGATTTATCTGTGGAAGCTTTCATATCATATAAACTTGTGTTTTCAAATGACTCTGCTATGTGATCTTGAGAAAGCCAGTTCATCTTTCTGTGTTCTTTTCCTCAAAATACAAAATAGGTACCATGTCATGTGCTTTTTAAGAATTTTATGATCTCTCAGTTTAACAAACTAAATTATTATTGTTATTTTTGTAATTCTAACTTGTTTTACTTTTTTTCTTTTATTTTTGTCAAATTGAATATTGATTTACAATGTTGTGTTAATCTCAGGTGTACAGCACAGTGATATGTGTGTGTATGTGTGTTCTTTCCCATCATAAGTTACGACATATTGAGTGTTATTCTCTGGGTTATGCAGTAGGTCTCTGTTGATTCTCTCTTTTGTGTATAGTAGTGTATATGTTAACCCAGACTCCTAATTTATCCCTCCCCACCCCATCCCTTTCGTCTTTGTTAACTAGAAGTTTGTTTTCCATGTCTGTGAGTCTGTTTTTGTTTTGGTCATTTGTATCATGTTTTAGATTCCACATGTAAGTGATATATGTTAATTGTTTGGCTTCCTTTGTGGCTCAGCTGGTAAGAATCTGCCTGCAATTCTTATGCAGCAGACCTGGATTCGATTCCTGGGTTGAGAAGATCCCCTGGAGGAAGGAAAGGCTACCCACTCCAGTATTCTGGCCTGGAGAATTCCATGGACTGTGTATAGTCCATGGGGTTACAAAGAGTCAGATACGACCGAGCGACTTTCACTGTTGTCTGACTTACTTCACTTAGTATGATGATCTCTAGGTCCATCCATGTTGCTGCAAGTGACATTATTTAATTCTTTTTTAAGGCTGAGTAATATTTCTCTGTATATATTCATATACTGCATCCCCTTTATTCATTCCTCTGTCAATGGACATTTAGGCTGCTTCCAGGTCTTGGCTGTTGTAAATAGTGCTGCAGTGATTATTGGGGTGCATGTGTCTTTTCCAACTTGAGTTTTCATCTTTTCTGGATATGTGTCCAGGAGTGGGACTGCTGGATCATGTGATAGCTCTTCTTTTAGGTTTTAAAGGAATTTCCATACTGTTCTCCATAGTGGTAGTATCCATTTACATTCCCATCAACAGTGTATGAGGGTTCCTTTTTCTCCACCCTCTCTCCAGCAATTGCTTTTCAAAAACTTTACATGTTTTTGATGATAGGCCATTCTGACTAGCATAAGGTGATATACCTCATTGTAGTTTTGATTTGCATTTGTCTCATGATTATGTTGAGCATCTTTTCATGTGCTCTTTGGCCATGTGAATGTCTTCTTTGGAGAAATGTCTATTTAGATCTTCTACCCGTTTTTGATTGGATTGTTTCTTTTTTTGGTATTGAGCTATAAGAACTGTTTACATATTTTAGAAATTAATCTCTTGTTGGTCTCATCATATGCAAATATTTTCTTCCAGTCTGTAGGTTGTCTTTTTGTTTGTTTTATGATTTCCTTTGATGTGCAAAAGTTTTTAAGTTTAACTAGGTCCCATTTGTTTATGGATTTGAAAAGGTATTGCTGTGATTTATGTGCTCTGTCTATGTTTTCCTCTAGAGTTTAATAGTACCCAGTTTTTTATTTCAGTATTTAATCAATTTTGAGTTTAATTTTGTGTGTGGTGTTAGACAGTGTTAACTATACCTTATTACTTGTTGGCATTTGTTTTCCTGCACTGTATTTGCCTTATAAAGCTTATACAACAGACTCAATAAAGTAAAGTTTGTAAACTACATGGAGCTCCATTAAAGTTCTTGTTCCCACTACCATATGACCAATTCCCTAAGTCTAGAGACAATGATGTTTTTTCATCAATTTCCTTTCCATAACACAAGTACATCACATATATGTATGTGTTTAGTCACCAAGTTATGTCCAATTCTACATGACCCCACATCACATTCATTTCCCTGTATATCACACCCATTAAGTATTGTCAGTGGATTTCTGAAGGTTGTAGAATTAACTCTAGCGATTTCTGTAAAGGCAGGGTCTATGTTTGTTTCTCACATGGTTTTGGCTGGGCTTGACTATAATTCTTCTCAAAGTAAGAAATGTCAAGGCAGATGGTAGACTCATTGTTAGCTAATTGAAACTGATACTATAATGTATATTATTTTGTTCCTAGTGTGAACTATTATAACATTGATTATTAAAGTTTCATGAGGGTTATTAAGTACATAATTACAAAAATTTTCTTTTGTTATGATAAGCATGCTTCTGTATTCTGTGGGTATTTATTTATTTTTTTGCAAAGAGGAAGTATGAGGAGGAAGTTCATTTCAAGGTCTTTTAATTTCCCAAAGCAGTGTGATGAAATCTAAGGAAGTCAGCTCTACAGATCACTGATAAACTGAGTTCTAGTCTGTAAATTGGCTAAGTTAGTTTTGAAATGGTTACCTCTACAGAACTGCTACTCAGGGCTTTGCATAATGAGCATAATCACAGCCTGAGGAACAATTCTCCTCGGGTCTCTCATGATAGTTTGGAAATTTTATTGAAAGTTCTAGAAAGAAATCTGCAAAACACTCTTTGTTCCTTGATTCTAATTTTGATTCATTTTGGTCAGTTAATAGATATGTAATTTACAATTAAGAAATAAATCTGTAGAATACTATCTGACCCTGTATGATAAATTATCTTTCTTTGGACTTTGCAATTGAGAAAATAATTAACTGATGCATGTACTAGCCACTGCAATTGCTGGCAAACACTGCAAGTTAGAAACAGCAAGGAATGATTCTCCCTTAGAGGTTTCAGAAAGAATATGCCCTTTCTGGCACCTTGATTTCAGATTTCCAGCCTCGAACACTGTGAATCAATGAATTTTTGTTGTTTAAGTCATCTAGTTTGTGATAGTTTGCTATAGCAGTTTGAGGAAACTGATACAGTTCCTTTTCTTCTTAATGCTGGTGGAACTCTTTAAAAGTAATAGGATTAGTTTTCCAAATTGTCATTGCAAATTTTGGGTAGGAAAGTTAGACTTTAGGTTTCAAATCTATTGTATCTTGATGTCTAGGCTTAAAATTCTACTATCCAGTTATACTTTCAAAAAGCATGAGAGCATTTTCATAATCATTTTTCTACTTAAATATTATCTTTGTAAAGTGGTTCTGTACTGTGACTAGATGATTTTCTTGCTTTTATGTATACTTTATTGAGGTTAGATTGATTTCTGTCTTTGAATTGATACACTCAAATGAGTTTAGAAATAACTTCCAACATATAAAAGATGATAGCAAAGTCCATTCTCAATTCCTTTTAATCTTAATATTTTTCCAGAAAAGGTAAACTTTTTCATTATATCACACATGCATGCAGTTTGTTCTGGATTGTTCTTTGGAAAGTGTGATCAAAGACATTTTATGATTCTTCAAATATCTCAAATTTTAACAACATTTAAACATTTTTTTAAGGATTGTGTAAAAATTGCCTAGAATAGTCTGCAGTAAATTAGTTTTAGTTCACACAATGGAAAGAATGTCTGTATATATATATATATATTTTTTTTTTTTTAATTATATCTTGCCTAAAACCCTAATGTTGTATATACTTCTTTCAAACTACTCATTTCTTTATCCCTTTGAAAGACTGCAAATAGCATAAGCAGCCTTTCACAAAACATTGGGGAGCAGTCCAAGTTGCAAACCAAGGACACTGTATTCTGTTACTGGGACCTGGACCACTTCTTCAGCAAGAGGTTTGGGGACTAAACACCCTCTGCTGGCTCTGTCTTGACATAGGGTTTCTTTACGTTAATCCTTAGATAAACATTTGGCCAAAATATATGTGTTTATCAAAAGGCTCACATGTGTATTTGATTTAGATTTATTAAATATACTTGTTGTGATTTCCCTAGATTTAGTTTTGAATTTATAAAATACTTTTCCTGATGAGTTCCTCAGGACAACATTTACTATAAAAGTTCACAGTTTAAAGAGACTCTGTCACACTGTGCTAACTGTTTCACTTTCTATATGAAGAAACTGAGGTCCAACAAAGAGCTTCCCTGGTAGCTCGGCTGGTAAAGAATCCGTCTGCAGTGCAGGAGATCATCGATTCCTGGGTCGGGAAGATCCCCTGGAGAAGGCATAAGGCTGCCCACTCCAGTATTCTTGGACTTCCCTTGTGGCTCAGTCAGCAAAGAATCTGCCTGCAATGCAGGAGGCCTAAGTTTGACCCCTTGGTTGGGAAGATCCCCTGGAGGAGGGCATGGCAACTGACCAGTGTTCTTGCTTGGAGAATCCCCATGGACAGAGGAGCCTGGCGGGCTGCAGTCCATGGAGTCACAAAGAGTTGAACACAACTGAGTGACTGAACACACACACACACACACACATACACGAAGTCAATAAAGTTACAGGCTTTGCACAATTTGCCAAAGCTTCTTAGTGGCACAGGTCTCTCTGGACCCTATAGCAATAAGTAGGCTTATCGCTGCTACTCTTTTCACTTGACTATACTGCCCTTTACATACCAATTTTAGAGCTTTGGGGCCTCTGGGAACCTATTTAGGTATTTGAAATACAATTTGAGGAATCTGTTAACAGCCATCCAGAAGGGCAAATTATAAGAAAGTAAATATAGTTTTTTCCCCCTCCTCATTCTGTAAAAATGTAGCCCGGGAAATAACAAAAGAAAATTGTTTAGCGATAAAAATTCGACATTTAGCAGTGTGTGTGTGTGTGTGTGTTTAAGATTTTTTGATGTAATCCATTTTAAAGTCCTTATTGAATTTGCTACATTATTGGTTCTGTTGTTTTATGGTGTTTTTTTTGTTGTTTTTTGGCTGTGAGGCATGTGGGATCTTAGCTTCCCAGCCAGGAGCGAGTCACACCCCCTGCAGTGTGAGGCAGAGCACTGGACTGCCTGGGAAGTCCCCCTAGCAGTGTGGTTTATTTTTTAACATGTTCTCTCTTGCTGAATGTCACATCTTCCTGATACTAGCATGGAGAATGCATAGGTGGAATTGAATTTATCAATGGAGATGCCAAGCAAAGAGACTTTTGCTTTCAGGTGAAAGATTTTTTCTTTCAGATTCTGTTTCAGTTCTTTTATAGCCTGTTAGCTCAGTGATTTGTGTAGAGGAGGCTAAGGAGATGTAGGTAGCTTCTAGCTGTGTACTCTTATCTTACATGCCTACATGGTATCTGTGGTCTTTTACAGTTTTAATGCTCTAAAAGGCTGTTGTTAAAAACATGAGGTGGGTGTGTTATTTCAGGTTCAGTATTACCGGCCTCTCCCCAGTATCACTTCTGAAGGCTTAACTCTTTCCTCTTTGAGTTCAATATAACTGTATATAACAATTTGGTAGTTGCTTATTTGTGCTCAGCAAGTCACCTCATTCTTCCATTCGTGACCTGATATGTGCTGATTGTATTATTAGGCTATCCAATTCCACTTTTCCAGGAAAAAACTACCCCCTTAAAATCTTAGTACGTTCTTTCCTTTCTTAATGTAGCGGGACAGCCTAACACCATGAGCTTTGGAAAATGACCAAGACCTGAGTTTGACCTTCATTCCTATTCTTCATGAAAATTAGACATACCAAGGGAACATTTCATGCAAAGATGGACACAATAAAGGACAGAGACGGTATGAACTGAACAGAGGCAGATGATATTAAGAAGAGGTGGTAAGAATACACAGAAGAACTATACAAAAAATATCTTAATGACCCAGATAACCACAATGTGTGGTCACTCATCTAGAGCTAGACATCCAGGAATGCAAAGTCAAGTGGGCCTTAGCATTACTACAGACAAAGCTAGTGGAGGTGAGGGAATTCCAGCTGAGCTATTTCAAACCCTAAAAGATGATGCTATTAAAGTGTTGCACTCAATGTACCAGCAAATTTGGAAGACTCAGCAGTGGCCACAGGACGAGAAAAGGTCAGTTTTCATTCCAGTGCAAAGAAGGGCAATGCCAAAGAATGTTCAAACTACCGGACAATTGTACTCATTTCACATGCCAGAAAAATAATGCTAAAAATCCTTCAAGCTACACATCAACAGTATGTGAACCAAAAACTTCCAGATTTATAAGATGGATTTAGAAAAGGTAGCGGAACCAGAGATCAAATTGCCAACATCTGTTGGATCATAGAAAAAGCAAGAGAATTCCAGAAAAATACCTACATCTGTTTCACTGACCACTCTGTTGACTTTGTGTGGATCACAACAAACTGTGAAAAATTCTTAAAGAGATGGGAATACCAGACCACCTTAGCTGCCTCCTGAGAAACCTGTAGCTGGTCAAAAAGCAACAGTTAGAAGTGGACATAGAACAATAGACTGGTTCCAAATTGAGAAAGGAGTATATCAAGGCTGTATATTGTCAACTGGCTTATCTAACTTACATGCAGTGTACCTCATGCAAAATCTTAGCTTCCTTATCTGGAAAAAGGGATAAAACAGGGATATTCCTTGGGCTTTTTCAGAGGTTGAGTGAAGTGATTTATCTAAACTCTAAATACAGCACTAAACCCAAGTGATATCTCAGTTATTATCTGTGCAAAATCCAGGCATATTATCTACCTTTGATTACATTTGTCTTATCTTTATTTTTTAAACCTTGCTTTCCCAATAGTAATACTAGAGATATATTTTGAATACCCGTGGAAACAATTCTAAGTGAAGAGTATGTGTCCAGTAATTACTTGCTGAATAAATGAAAGCAATTTGTCTTTAGAGTTCTCTAGTCCACTCTGTGGAAAACAGAGCAAGAGATTAAAGTAATATAATAAGCAGAATGCACTAATACAATAAGAAAATGTGACTGATGTTTCTGTTTTCTTTCTACTTCATTGTTTCCTGGTGTTAAAGTTTATGTATGTTTAATTGTTTAATACTTTACTCTGCCTTGAAGGGTTTTAAAGGACAGCTACAATCAGGATTCTATGCTCAAATATTATCCAAATATTTACTCATATTCTATTATTGTAATATCGAGTATAAATTGTAAATTTAAGCCTAAGAGTAATCCTTCCAAAAGACACCTCAATAGATAATACTTGAAGTGCAGATACTGTTTTCTATGTGACTATGGTAGATTCTTGTCCCATGGTGTACAGGCCCTGTATTAACACCCTTTCCTTAAATGTCACTGAGACTGTGATTATGATAGGGAAGTCACTTCATAATTACATAAGACTTTGTCTTTGCAGCCTGTCAAAGATGAGATCTCAGACCTCTAACTTCAAGGAACTGAAATCTGCCAGTTATCAGGAATCTTGGTAGAGGAACTGGAGCCTCCAGTAAGATCACTGCTCTGGTCAACACCTTCAGTTCAGTCCTATGAGACCCTCAGCAGAGAACCCAGCCATGCTGCACCTGAATTTCTATCCTGTGGCACTGTGAGGTAATACTTTTGTGTTGTTGTAATCCACTTAATTTGTAGTAATTTGTTACGCAACAATAGAATACAAGGAGAGTGACCATCAGGGTAAAGGAGATACATGAAAAAAGTAAATTACTACCACCATGAGGAACACTTTTCTCCTGTGCTATGTCTGTATTATTTATTCATTCAGTAATTCATCCATCTATTTATTCAACTAATACTTTTGAGAATGTTAAAGGTTTCAGGCTTTACCCGAATCATACAGGCGTTTCATGAAACTTTGAATTTGATATACAGACATACAAGCGAGAGCCCAGATTTCTTTAAGAGCTTCCTCCACTGTTCCTACCTACTTGAACTCTGTTCTTCATGTTCTCAATGTATTTTCTGTAACAAATCAGCTGTCTCTTGATGATACTCTTTCCTGTGTTCTCCCCCATTGAATTATTCCTTAATTTTTTTTTTCCCTGAAGAACTAGCTTTCATGTATATAAATTGCAAAGTAAGTAAAGTGAATTCTTGGATGGGATATTCTTCAGTTATGGGCAGTTTAATAGATGCTTTGCTTTATGAGGGCTTCCCTGATAGCTCAGATGGTAAAAGAATCCACCCGCAATGCAGGAGACCCCAGTTTGATTCATGGGTTGAAAAGATCCCCTGGAGAAGGGAAACGCTACCCAATCCAGTATTCTGGCCTAGAGAATTCCATGGACTGTTTAGTCCATGGGTTTGCAAAGAATCAGACACAACTGAGCGACTTTCACTTCACTTTGCTTATATGACTGTATCACTAGTTGGAATGGTGGAGCATCAAGATAGCTAGTCTTTGAGGCTCTTACTCATTTATGCCTGTGAATGTAATAAACATAGCAATAATATGTCATTCACATCACACAAACACACACACACAGCTTATATATTCATTTTAGTATTTGTTTTATTGGCCCCAAATTAATGATAAGGGATTTTATGATACCATCTATGAATACATTTTTACTGATATTTTATATAATTTCAAGGCCTTTTCACATACACTGTGTTATTTAGATACTTCCTATAACTCTGGTGTGTGGCATATAATTAGAGAAAAATTATTGAGTGTATTAAAATGTCTCAAAAGTCAAATTATAATGTCCTTAAGATAGCACAAAGATAATTTTATTGTGTATCTGTTATAACTGCTTCTTACCCGCACAGGTAAAACTAACTTTAGTTTAAATTAGACATAATTAAAAAAAAAAAAAAACCTCCATATTATTACCAGAACATTTGCACTGAATCAAATAATACTGAATTTTTCTAGGTGGTTTTAAGCTTAAAAAAATCCTATTTATGACAGTTCATCATTGCTACCAACTAAGATCAGTTTGGCTAAACTAAGATGTAGTTTGGCTGCCTCCAGAAGTTGATGTTAAACAAGGATTCAAGTGCAAGTAATTTACTATGTAGCTGATCCCAAGAAATATCAGTTGGAATGCAGGGAAGGCAAAGCAGCCAATAAAGGGTACATTACAAATTATTTACACTATAGGTAGCTGGAACTTAATCCTGTTGGGAAATTCTGGCAACCAGATAACACAAGCCTCAGATTCAGTTCCCTGTAACAGTGAAGAAGCTGAGATAATTATACCACCTGCCCTCTGCTTTTGCCTGAGGTGTACTTCCAGGGAGTAGAGCTGATTAATTCCCCAGGTGTGACAAGGTGGGCAGAGCAGCCTCTGGCAGAGAAAACTATCAGTCAGGGGGACAGATTCTGGCCTTTTGAATGTCAACCTAGAAGCAGGTGGAAGGAGAGAAAGCAGACATTTCAGGATAACCTGCCATGTATGTGGCAAGATAGCCGTTATTTTAAATATTAGTATATTAAGAGAGATACGGGCTTCTACTTGGCGCACTTGTAAAGAATCTGCCTTCCAGTGCAGAAAACGCAGCCTCGATCCCTGGTCAGGAAGATCCCATGGAGTAGGAAATGGCAACCCACTCCAGTACTCTTGCCTGGAAAATTCCAGGAGCTTGGTGGGCTATAGTCCATGGGATAGCAAAGAGTCTGACACAACTGAGCGACTAAGCATAAAGACACATAAATGTGATATAGCACATATTATAAATTATGTTTCTTTAATAACTTTTCAAAGTTAGTATTATAATTTCACTTTTTCAAATAAGGAATATGAGGTTTGAAAAGGTTAGGTAAATTCCACGTCATTCAGTTTGCAAGTGGGAGAACGTATCTTTGAACTGTGGTCTATCAGACCTCATATATCCCATGTTCTTTCCACATAATTAACATTTTGCTTCTGGGATATTTTGAAAATTAAACTCCAAACTTTATTCAGCTTTCACAGGGTTTTCATTAAAGTTCCCATATGATCCTATGCTCATTTTTTCAGGCCAATCCAGGATACCACATTATATGTTGTCATCATATCTCCTTAGCCAGCTCTGATGGCTGCTGAGACTTTAACTTATTTGATGACTGACAGTTGTGAGGAGCACTAGTTAGGTATTTTGTGGAGTGCACCTCAGTTTGGGTTTGTCTAATGTTCACCTGATGCTTTTGAACTGTGGTGTTGGAGAAGACTCCTGAGAGTCCCTTGGACTGCAAGGAGATCCAACAAGTCCATCCTAAAGGAGATCAGTCCTAGATGTTCAATGGAAGGACTGATGCTGAAGCTGAAACTCCAGTACTTTGGCCACCTCATGCAAAGAGTTGACTCATTGGAAACGACCCTGATGCTGAGAAGGATTGGGGGCAGGAGGAGAAGGGGACAAGAGAGGATGAGATGGCTGGATGACATCACTGGCGCAATGGACATGAGTTTGAGTAAACTCCGGGAGTTGGTGATGGACAGGGAGGCCTGGCGTGCTGCGGTTCATGAGGTCTCAAAGAGTCTGATACGACTGAGTAACTGAACTGAATGTTCACCTCATGATTAGATTGGGGTTATAGGATTTTGGGGGAAGATCACAAAAGTGAAATGCCATTCTCCTCAGATCTTATCAAGGGTTCTTGGTATTAACATGACTTACAGCATAGAACCTTGATTACTAACCCAAGGTAGCATTTGGCAGGTTTCTCCACTGGAAAGTCAGCACCAACCCCTTCCATATTCTACTCTTTAAAAGCAAGTCATTAAGCACAACACACACACAACTGGGGAGGAGAGATAAATCCCATATTCTGGAGCAGGGATTGTCAACATAAACTATTTGGAACTCTTTATTGATCTTAGAGATCAATATTAACATGTCTCTAAAAACCTCAGTCTAAAACCAGGGCCATGTCTTTAAATTAGATTTATATGTAATGCATTAAGATTCTCATAGTAAAAAAAAAAAAATACCCAGCTTATGGGCTCCTTGTTTCACTCACTGAAAGAACAGAAGATCTCTGTAGTGGCAAATTGTAATGTGATGATTTCCACCACTTAGAAATGGCACTTGGTCTCATCAGCTCATAAGATGTGAATTGAACATTGGTCCTTGCAACCTCCAGATACCACTTTGATCCTTCTTTGGTGTTACAACAGCCAGGCAATGCACCTCTGAATTGGCAGGCTTCTGTGTTTTTAGAGGAGGCAGGGGGAAGTGTCTCTCAAACAATTTCTGCATATCTCAGCCAGATAAACACATTTTACTTCTTTTAAATCATAATTTTAAAAAATACCTCAAAATCTATGTAGAAANTGAATTGGCAGGCTTCTGTGTTTTTAGAGGAGGCAGGGGGAAGTGTCTCTCAAACAATTTCTGCATATCTCAGCCAGATAAACACATTTTACTTCTTTTAAATCATAATTTTAAAAAATACCTCAAAATCTATGTAGAAAGTTAGCAACTAGAGAGAGAGAGTAGAAATATATCTGGTAGGTTTTCATTAGAAGACTAGGATTCTTTACTAGAAATTGGAATAGACTCTAGGTTGTTTCCATGGTAACCTACCAAAGCCTTTTTTCCTTTAATGAAAAGGTATCATTTCTCTGCATACCACATGTAGCTTCCTGCTCAGTATTGGATCAAGTCCTTTTACAACAGAATAAAATAAACGAACTGACAAAAAGTTCTACAGTGTGGCCCTGCTTGTGGTGAAATTATTCTTGGTGCTAAATAATGAGAAAAAAAAGCCCTTTTCATTTTGACCACATTCACCATGCCATTTTTAATAACAAAGGTGCATGTGCAAGTATTTCATGATGTTGTATTAGAAACAGGTTACAGTCTATCCTTTGGCAACCTTTGCAGTCTGAAAGATTATTGTTCTTTTTGTCCCCTCAAGTCAAAATTTCCTTGCTTGACATTTACATTCTCTTACGACCTTAGCTCTACTACTTATAAAGCTTAATTTTCCACTCTGCCTTGTCCAGGCCTTCGACTCCATTAAGGCCAGTATCCTTGCGGTCCTTGCACACACTCCATTCTCTGTGCTCCCTGACAGCTTTGTGAAGTCTTTTTAGACTCACCCCTGTCCTTATCAGATTTTTTTTTCTCTGAATGCCTTCTGTATAACAGTACAAGTCTTCTTTGTTTCAAGAATCATGTTTTTGTATTCCCATTTGTATTGAGAATTGGGATTCTGTGCCTATATATTTATTTATATTTAATCTCATTGAAAAGTGGAAGTAGATTTAAACAGAATTTTACATACAGGTATACACACACATATATTAATATATATAGAGAGATAAGAGACAACAGTCCACCTACATAAAAATATAATTAAAAAATATGGATATTGCATTTTTTCTAAAGAAGTTTAAAGTCCAGCTTTAATGAAAGTTTATTTCCTGCTCAAGCTCCATCCTGCATGCATGCATGCTAAATTGCTTCATCATGTCTGACTCCGTGAGACCCTATAGACTGTAGCCTACCAGTCTCCTCTGTCCTTGGAATTCTCCAGGCAAGAATACTGGAGTGGGTTGCCATGTTCTCCTCCTGGGGATATTCTCAACCCAATGATCAAACCCAAGTCTCAAATCTCCTGCATTGGCAGGCAGTTTCTTTACCACTAGCACCACCTGGGA